ATCTACTAAAAATCAACTGCATTGCATTGCATTGCTCACCTCAGAGTTCTTAGACTAAACACTTAAATTAGTCTCAACTTTGGAATTAATGCGCCGTCATATGTTTGGAATTAATGCGCCGTCATATTAATTGTAAAATTAAGAAATTATGAAATATATTACTAAAAATATAAATTTGAGAATTTCTCTTATTATACGTGACTTTTCCTACGAATTTTTTATAAAAATTCGCAGGAAACGTTGTTCTTGCAAATTTTCTTGCGAAATTTTATCAGCAGATAATATCTTCGTGGATAATATTATTTTGCGAATTTTAAAATTCGTAGGAAATTTTCCTGCGAAATTTCTTGCGAAAAAAATTCGCAGGAAATTTTCCTGGAAAAAAAAACCGCAAAAAAATTCGCAAGAAAGTTTCCTTCGAATTTTTTCGCAAGAAATTTTGCAAGAATATTTTTTACGAAAAAAATTAATGAAATTACTATAAATTCTATCAATAATTTTTCAACTTTCAAATGCTCGAATTTATCCGAAGCATTTGTTTTCATGCCTCCAACATGTGATACATAATCTTTTAAATTCTAAGATTGTAGATTATAATTTATAAGCCTAACACTCAACCATATAAATCAACTTGTAAGGTAAGTGTTTCCCCAACTTATATACTTTTTAATTGCTTTATTTTCAATCGATGTGGGACTTGAAGTTTTTTTAAAATATTAAACTTATAAATTTAAATATTTTTTTTATTTTTCCTGCGGATTAAAATTTGCAGGAAAACCCGCAGGAAAAGTTACCTGCAAAATTTTTCTACCATTTAGTAAACATTACTTGCGAATTTATTTTTGCAAGAAAATCTGCAAGAAACAAAATAAAATTCTTACAATATTTTTCTGCAAATTTTTACCATGGAAAAAAACTCTATGATTATTAAAATTGTAACAAAATTTGTAAGAAATATCTGTAAATTATTTTTCGCAAAAAATTTCTGCAAATATTTTTTTGCAAGAAAATTCGCAAAAAAATTTTGCGAATATTTTTTTGCAGGAAAATTTGCAAGACAATGACACTTTTCTAGTAGTGTCATTAATTCCCATATTAATTTAAAATTCAAATATTGTATGATTAATGTGATAATAGTGATATATATTTAGAAATGAAAGAGGAAGGTTCAAATAACATTGGTATAACTTTTATTAAGTATTACACTATTCAATAACTTTATATTAAATGTGAATTTTGTAAATCCGATTGTTAGATTGAAAATTCTTATCCCTTTATATGTTTATATCAAATTTTATTAAAATTGAACAACAATTTAAAAGTAATCAAAGAGTTTATATTTTAAAATATATATATTATATCAATTTTATTTTATAAGAATAAAGTATCAAATCATCTTCAATTAATATAAAAATTTCTATTTATAATTTAAGAATATAAAACTTTTAATATAACGATTAGATTTATAAAATTTATATTTAATATAAAATTATTGAATAGTGTAATACTTAATAAAAGTTATATTAGTGTCATTTAAATTTTTCTTAAAATGAAATGATAATAAATAATTAAATTTGAAATTTATTTGATAATTTTTGTAATTTTAAGGGCAATAAATATAACAGAATTTTCTAAATTTTGTGGGCAAGTGGGTGTTCACTACTATACTGAATTGGCTGGGTATGGTTGGTTGAAATAGTTGGGAGTGATAATAGCGTGGTACTAGGGTAAGCTGTGTCCTCCAATCACTAAAGATGACACCTACCTTCACCACCATCGTTAAAAATGTCTACACATTGACTTTGACTTTGACATTAATTTCCATGTGAAGGGGGTCCATTCCAGCTGGTTTGAATTTGAACCCTAGTGCCCCAACTTGTTTCATTCGCTTTTACCCTTCTGCTTTCTTCGGAACGGGGGAAGAATACAAGAAAATTAAATACAATATTGGAGAATTGATTTAATAAAAAATACATAAGAAATTATATGAAATAAGGTGAAATTTATAATTATTTAATAAAATAGAATTAAGTAAAATAAAATAATTTAATATATTTTATTATTATTATTATTATTATTATAAAAATTATATATATATATATATTAAATTTATAAAATTTTAAAAAATTTAAAAACTATTTAATACTTTATTTTATTAATTTAAATTAATAGATAATTATAAAAATATTTTATATAATTATAAATTATTTTATATATTAGTTTGAATTAATGAAATGAAATATTAAATAATTTTTAAATTTTTTAAAAATTTATAAATTTAATTTATATATTAAAAATTTTAAATTTAACAGCTAAATTTAAATAAATTTATTTTTAGAATAAATAAATTTTTCAAATATATAGCCTCCACCGCTTATGTGTACTTTTCCTTTTAGTAGAGGGAAAGTTTTAAGCGGTGGAGCCTACAGAGATTCAGAGTTCACAGAAATTCATATTCTCTTTTCTCTTATATTTTTCATATTAAAGATACCTCTAATTTTAACTTATTTTCACTTCTTTACACTTTCCTCTCCTCTTCCATGTCTCTGTTCTCAAGCACACCATCATTGTCTGGAACAAGGAAAAACACGATATTGACATCAAGTATAATCATACATCTATTCAAGAATTATTCAAATTAAAACTAGATATAAAAAGTGTCATTATATATAATATTTAGATATAAATTTATTCAAAATTTAACTATACACAATTTTAATATTAATTTTAAATAAAATTTAATAATATATATTATATCATTATAATTTATATTTATATTTTTTATAATATATAAATATATATTAATTTATAATATATGTAAAAATAATTTTTAACTATAATTATTGTATCACTATAATCATCCCATGAAAATTTTCTTGTGGTACGGTGAATGCATGGTGGAATTTGTTACTTTTTTAAATATCACCTCAAAGTTGATGGTTATTACGTAAAAGCTTAATTAATGCCTAAATAGCTTCCGGTGTCACACGTAATAAGCTGTGGCCAAGTTAACGCGCATTCGAACATACGCTCAAACTAGGTGGTCTTGCATGAGGATCGGATTTTGTGACATAATATTAATTACTCTATAAAATTAATATATTAAGCAAGTAGTTCCCATGCAGCACGTATAAAATCTACGTAACAACTAAATCCTTATTTTGTATTTCAGCAAAACAAATCTTCTTTTTTAAAACCTTATTTTGTAATTATAATTTTTTTCATTTATTTTAAATATTTTAAATTCTTCTATCTAATATAATGATTCAATTTATCTGAAGGGTCACGTATGATTGCATATATTAGGAGAACTATTTTCAACGTCTTTCTTTTGTCTCACTGCCCAACGATGAAAGCAAATAATACGAGTAAAAAACTTTTTTTTGGATTCCCGTGATTTTCCGCAATGATGGTCAATAAATTACTATGATATTTTCCTCTTACGTATGCTATCAACTTACGAACAATCGACTTAAAATATGAAAATTTTAGTGCATAACTCAAATCCTCCACATCATCCTCCACAATATATATATATATATATCATATTGAAGCATAAATTTCCCGAAATATAAAATATAACTCTCTACACGACGAAA